CCATTTTTTTTTTTTTGCCTGGTTTATCTGCACACGAATGTGTGTCTCCAGTGAGCCAGCCACCTTGCAAGCCTTACTGGGTTTCAACCCACGGCCACCCAGTCCTCTGACTACCGCCTTTTCCTGCCACCTTTTCCTGTCCAGATCCCTCTTTGCTGGCCGCCAACTCCACCCCTCTTACCAGTGTGGATGAATGGTTCCTTGTTGTTGTTGTCACACTTCGGAACAGTTCAATTTTCTGTCTATTTTAGTTGTGTTTTTGTTTCTAAATCTTTGTTGTCTTTAATTTTGGTTGTGCAAGGAGGTACGATGTTTCCACGTACGCTGTCACCTTGGCCAGAAGTCCTCAATAAATTAATTTTTTCAGTGACTTGCAAAAGAAATTTGAATCTAAAGCATGAAACCAGAGAAAGGTAGAAAGCAGAAGTTTAGGCAAAAATACCACTCAAATTCTAAACCAATGTGGACAAGCTGCCAAATGAATCAGAGTTTCCACGAAATATTTACTGAGAGGATGGTATGTGCCAGACAATTTTCTAGGCATGTGGGTATGTCAAATAATCACAGGTAGAGATTCTTGCTTTGGATCTTCCACTGTTCCTTGAAGAGAAAGACAATAGACTAAAGAGAAATAAATCTGTAAATTATAAAATACCTGAGATATTCATTTCAATTAGAAAGAAAACCAGGGAGTATATTCAAAAGGAAGGTGAGAAGAGAAGGCAGGTGAAACCTCAGTAGTACTGGTGGTGACCTTCACTAGAGCATAACCACAAAGCCCTGCTCACTAAGGTCAAACATGCCTTTATACTTATATGTACCACCTAAAGAGGCGGAACTTTCATAAAGGAAGTAACTCAATCACATGAGAAAAGAGACAAATCTACACTTATAATGAGAGGTGTAACACACATTTCTCAGTCTCGCTAGGGCAGACAAATGAGAATGCAAAAAAAACAACCACAGAAGACTGAAGCAACCTAAGTAATGTACTTGACCTAATGCACATATACAGATGCTTCATCCATATCACTCCGTTGTTTTCAAGTCCACAGGGAATACTTACTAATAATGGTCTTCTGTTTGCACCAGACACTTAGGGACTTCCCTAATTTGGTGAAGGAAATAGACATGCAAGAGCAGGAAGCACAGAGAGTCCCAAACAAGATGGATGCAAAGAGACCAGCTCCAAGACTCATCATAATCAAAATGCCAAAAGATAAACGTAAAGAGAGAATCTTAAAGGTAGCAAGAGAAAAGAAGTTAGTGATCCACAGGAGACTTCCCCTAAGACTTTCAGCTGATTTCTCAAGAGAAACTTTGCAGTCTAGAAGGGACTGGCAAGAAATATTCAAAGTCATGCAAAGCACAGACCTACATCCAGATTGCTCTACTCAGCAAAGCTATCCTTTAGAATGGAAGGGCAGATAAATAGCTTCCCAGCCAAGAAAAAACTAAAGGAGTTCATCATCACAAAGCCATTATTATATGAAACCTTAAAGGGACTTAATGTAAGAAAAAGCAGAACAGAAAACTATCAAAATATGAACAATAAAATGGCAAAAAATAACCATCTATCAAATATTGAATCTAAAAACCAAACTAAACAAACAAGAAAAACAGACAGAATCATGGATACAGAGAGAAGTTTGATGGTTGCCAGATGGGAGAGGGGTGTGGGGGAATGGGAAAAAAGGTGAGGGGATTGAAAGGTACAAATGGATACTTACAGAACAGCATGGGGGTGTCAAGTGCAGTATAGAAAATGGAGCAGCCAAAGAACTTATACATATGGGCCACGGACATGAACGATGGTGGGGGGATAGCCTGTCAGAGTGGGAATGCTGCGTGTAAAGGGGCAAAGGGGGAAAACTCGGGACAACTGTAAGAGCATATTCGTTAGTAAAATAAAATGTTTATAAAGAAAAAAAGATCAGAATGTATGAAGAATACTTACATGTCATTAATAAAAATACAAATGACCCAATTTAAATTGGAAAATGATGGGAATAAGCATTTTTGATGCATAACTTACTGCCTGTAGTGAGAGCAGACTGCCTTACCACCTCAGAGAGCAGCCTGAGTCCCCATGTGTCTCCACCAGGGACGCCATCACCCCAACCAGCCCCTGAGTCTGCTCCTTCCCACCTCCCCACCTCCTCAACCACCTCTGTTCTGAGCAGAGACGTGCTCCCCAGTGTTCCTTGATGTGAACACCTGAGGGGCTGAGACCCAGACTCAGAGCTGAGGTCTCAGATCCAGAGCAGGAGATGATGATGATTTTCTAAAGCATGGCCATTTGTTGATCCCAAATCCCAAATTAGAAAGAGTTTTGGTTTAACAGGAAGTGAGAACCTGAGAACAGTTGCTTTAGGCACTCCGTTTTTCTTATTTGTTTATAACCATAGACAACGCTGCTCATTTCCAAGCTAATATAGCTAGTTCACCGCCCAGGAGTAAGGTGACCCCAGCCCTCATATGGGGCCAGGAGACTCCCCAGACAGCAGCAGACCTCCACAGATGGGGGCTGGCAGTTTAATGAGCAAGGAGCTTACTTAAAGGCTGGTCTTGATTGGTCTCCAAGACAAGTATGTGGTGCACCTGCCAGGTCTGAAGAGTGTATGTAGACCCCTTACCCGGGCTGAGTCACGTGCTCCATACAGGAGGTCTCAACAACAGGTCACTCTCTCAAGGCCGAGTCCTGGAGGCAGCTCCTGGGTAATGACAGGTTGAGCTGAATGCACATTCTGAGGACAAAAACGGGCTAAAACTGGGGGCAGTGGAGAGCTGGGTCCAGCCTTCAGGTCAACTGGAGGTCACATCCTTCCCATAACCTCCCCAGAGTCACAGAACACAGTGGGTTCACTGCTCCGAGTGTGGGAGCCCAAGGGACATCAGCCTTGGTGGAAGAAACAGGTCTCCTTTCACGTGAGACTGTGGGGGACACGGGGGAATGTTTCCAAGCCCCACCTCTCCCAGGGGAGGCTGCACTTTCTCCCACACCCACCATCCTGGCAGTTCCAAGCTGAGCCCCTCTTTGCAGTGGGCTCACCCATCAGCCACATCCCAGGCCCAGCTCATCCTCTTTCAGCTCCTCTGCTCAACACAGTGTGACAATTTAGTGTTTAGGAAGAAGTGCCCAGGCTGAGACCCTTGTCCCATCTGTCACCTGTACTCCACCCCTGCTGACAACCCTAACAACTTCACATGCCCCCCTTCTTCTGCAGGAGGTCCTAAGATGGCACCAAGGGGCTTCATGAGCTTGGAGATGGCTCATTTGGTGGCTGCTCTCTCAGATGCCACAGCAACACTGCAGTCTCATGAGAGAGAAAACACAGGTGAGATCCTAAATTCAGGGTCAACCTTCTACACCCGGAACCCCATCACCCAAACCACTGACTTAGCAAGTCCTCTGGGCAGGGGTTCAGATCCCCCAGGGTGTTGACTTCTATCCTCATGTGATTCAGTAAACGTGATACATTAGCACACTCATCAGGTATGAACATAGTTTTCTGCTTGGACAGTGACAGAGTTCAGATCTCAGGAGAAATGTTTCTAGTGTCAGAAATCACTGGAGGGGACTTTTAAAAATAAAACAGTAAAGACTAGGGTGTGTCTGACAGAGAACTGACTGTGGGTATTGCTCAGATGGATCAATCCCTCTAATGAGGTACTTGGGGGAGTCAAGCTCAGGGGTTTCGACAAGTGGTGGACACTGGGTATGCAAGTGACAGGGGACACTGCTGGTAGGGAGGAAATGACACCCTAAGGGGGAGAAGGAGAGCTGGAATCCAGAAAGAGAGTTTGGTACAGGAGGTAGAACCCTGGCTTCGGGTTGCAGCAGGTCAGAGATGACACTGCAAGGAGACAGGCAGGAGAACGAGTACTCTGACCTTGCTTTTCTACCCCAAAGAGGCCTCCTGCTCACACTTCCCACGGGCAGGAGCCCAGCAAGACTCAGAGACCCAGGGATCCCACTGACGTGACCAGATAGGACGGGGGCCTCTAGGTTAAGGCCACTCTTACTCAGTGCTCTTCTTGCCACATGTTCAAATGCAGCACAGTGTTTACAGACCAGATGTAAGCAGGATGCACTGGCAGGAGCCCCACCAGGTAGGTGCAGCCAGTTGCAAGGAGGAAGCCCATGTGCCACTGACCAGTCAGTGCACATCAGCACTGGCTCCACCTCCCTTCCCATAGAGAGAACTTAGGATGGGAAACCGCCATCTCCTTCACAGACTGCATGTCAATAAATCCATCTTGAGACAACCACGTCTCATTACTTTAATATTTTAATTATTTATTTTTAGGGAGAAGAATGGAGGGACAAAGAAGGAGAGAAACATCAGTGTGAGAGAAGCACAATGATCAGTTGTCTCTCATGCACAACCTGACCAGGGACGGAACCCACAACCAAGTCCTGTGCCCTGACCAGGAGTCAAACTTGTGAAACGATGACAAACTGACTGAGCCAGTCCTGTGAGGGCCACCATGCCTGGTACTTGAACAGAATATCCCTGTGGCACAATCCCTGAGATCAGTAACAATGTGATCCCCGTAGTTCAGCCTCCTGGGGCTCAGAGCTAGGGTGAGGGGGGCAAAGTGTGGATCTGCAGAGGCAAAGGAAAAATATTTGGCACACAGTCAAGGACATTTCATGTTAGGATGATCCATTAACAAGAACACAGAGAAAAACAATCAGGATTTAGCATCTCCCAGGTCTCTATGGACCACAGAACCGTCTTATGGAGAGGCCTGCTCTTCACTGACCGTAGGCTCCTAGACATGGACAGAGAAAATGAGCACCAACAGACAGGGCTGACATGTGGCAACCATGGGTTCTTTGATTTTTCTAAATTCAGTTTTTGAACTCTACACAGTGTATTCTGGCCTGATTGTGCCAGAAATCGCTCCTTAACTGCGTTGGCACTGTGGGGACAGGGTACGAGCTGGAATGATGCTTTGGTGAGCTATTGCTGCACAACAAACCAGCCCAAAGATTAGTGGTTTGAAACAACATCGTTTATTTTTCTCAAGAATCTACGAACTGGGCGGGACGCGGTGGGGATGGCCCAGCTTTGCTGTCTGCAGCTTCCCCTGAGGCGGCTCTGCTGGCAGCTGGAGAGCCCACTGCCCTGTGGCCACACTTGCACAGCTGGCAGGTGGTTCTGCTGACAGATGGGAGAGCAGGCAGGCGACGGGGCCAGGATTCCAGTCCTCTTCCTGGGGCCTCTTGATGGGCAACATGGGATTCCTCACAGCACGGGGGCCATGGACCGAGGGCGTGTACCCCAGAGAGCAAGGCAGCACTGTCCCTGACTAACTGCAGAAGTCACACCACCCACTACTCATCAAAGCAGTCAGAGGCCATGGAATTTCAAGGACGGGGACAGAGTCTCTATTACCCAACAGAAGGAGCAACAGCTCAGAGTACAAGAAAAACAGGTGGGATAGAAGAAATCGCTAGAGCCATCTTTGAAACTTACTATCCGCCGTATGAACAAATAATAGTCAATTAAGAAGAAAAATTAAATTTGCATTATTTCCACAGCCTATGCAATATATTTGAAAGCATACTCCATATGTCATTGAAAAAACTGCAAATATGTTTCTTTTGGCTTCTTTGTATTTTCAATTTATCATATTTTTTCTTCACAGATTTTACTTTTTTCTTCGTTTGTTGTTTTCACATTTTTTGCTAAGCATAAGCTCTTCTACCATTTTTCCCCCTGTCTAAAGGATGACACAGGTTTCCTTTTCCAGAACTTTCTCCTTGTAGATGGAATCCAAACAGTGAGCCCCTCCATTCTCCTTCACCATTACCTCGATCAGCTCCACCAGCTCCTGCACTTGAGCTTCCTTCTCAGCAATGTCTTCACTTTTGTTATTGAAGGCACAACAGCGTAACCCACACTCCTTGATGACGTCTTTTAGCCTCTTGTCTGCTCTTGCTATAAAGCTACTTAGCATTTGACTTTCCAGGTGATCTTTGAAAGTGAACAAGATAATCATGTGCTTTGTGACATGCTCCCCAAATGTGACCTTGATCAATTCAATTGTGTTGTGATCCATCTCCGTGAAGCAGCCCAGGCGTAGGACCAGGATGATGGCATGAGGCCCCGGGCTAGTGTAGTGGAGACACTTAGTGATTTCGTCACAGGTGGTCTTCAATTTCTCCCTGGTGTCAAAGAGCCCTGGGGTGTCCACAACGAGAAGCCTCTTCCCCTTCCAGGCCCTCTCTTCTTTCTGACAGTGCTTGGTAACAGACCAAGGAAGTATTCTAGAATCAAATGCTCTTTTCCCAAGGATGGTGTTTCCTGTCGCACTTTTCCCACTTCCGGTTTTTCCCACCAGAACGATGCGCAGAGTGTTGTCCTCAAGGCCGGCCATGCTGGTGTCCAGAGGCTCTGGGTGCAGGTTCCCAAAAGACCCTGAGGAGGGGAAGGATGTGGGGAGGGGTCAACTTTGGCAAGTGAGGACCACTCCAACCCTCTCTTCCTCCCTGAAAATTTGTACTACTCAGTTATTCATACTGATCCCAGTGACAACAGACAGATGGCACAGGTCAACTCCTGGGGAAGAAACAACAGAGATTTCCCACAGAAGAGCACCAGGTGCAGGCCCCTCCCAGGGGAGCCCACCCACACCTTACAGCTCTGCTCTCTCAGTGCTCCCTGAGCTGTCCCTGATCACACACAAAAGGAGGGGAAGTTTCAGTCTTTTCTGCAGATCAAGTATAATATTGATCCCAACGGCTAACCAAGGTTTCACCAATAGATAAAGCTATAGGTGTGTCTCATTTGGAAGCAGTAATGTAACAATACTAACTCAATCATTAAACACTAAAGAAAAAATAGAGAGGGAGTAGGGCAAGAATAGTATGGGAAATACAGACTCTAAAGAACTTGTGACACATGGACATAAATGAAAAAGGGGAATGGTGGGGGAGGGGAGTGCAGGGTGGAGGGGAATGAAAGGGGGGAATAGGACAACTGTAATGGCATAATCAATAAAATATATTTTTAAAAAGAAAAGTATACACCATAACTAAGTGGCATTTACTAGTATTCAGAAATACTAGGATGATTCATATGAAAAATTGCTTGTGACAACACATCCCATTAATAGCTGAAGAAGAAAACTACCCAGACACAGAAAAGACATTTGACCCAATTTCAGTTATGGTCCAGGCTTACACGGAAAAGCAAATCCATGGAAATAATAGAAACAATATATACAGATTCTTTGTAACCTGGAGATAGGGGAAATATTTCTAAGGTTGGACACAGAGTAAGAAAAAGGACTAATAGGTTTGATTACATACAAATCTCACAGATAATGTGAGACAAGAAACAGCAGAGACAAATTAAAGCAAAAATGTCAAATTTGGGAAAAAACAGTTTCCAACATATATCAAAGGGGGTGAAATTCCCTATTATACAAAGAACATTGAAAAGCACAGAAACAAAATTCAACAACTTGATACAAAATGGAGCAAGAGATGGAAATAAATATTCTCAGAAAAAAATGTAAATGTGCCTTGAATATATCCAAAGACATTAATATACACTCATTATAAAGAAAAATGAATCAAAACACAAAAGTAATATAACCAAATAAAATAATTGTAAATCTCACCTCTGTTTCCGAGGTGAGATGCTATTTGTCACCTCCAGGTCTGGCAGAACTGCAGACCTGTGCTGAGAGTCAGTCCGAGGGGTGGGGGCAGCAGGTCCTCCCCTGCACGGCTGGTGGGGGGGAAAACAGAGTCCAACCCTACAAAGGAAAAACCAGAAATATCATGCAAAGTGCACATGCATTTTTCCCATGATTATCAATCCCAAGATTTAGCTTTCAGCCATAAACTACACTGACAAAAATTACAGAAAAATCATAATGAGGCTCTTTTTGCATCAAGATTTGTAACAGCACAAGAACAAGAACTTATCAAAAGGCCAGCAGTAGATGAAGGGTTGAATGAACTAAGGTGTATTCACACCAAGAAGGACTAACCAGCTGTGAAAAGGACCGAGAAGAGTCTCTCTACCAAGAGAGGAGAATGGCCTTCAGAGGCCATTTCTCACCAAAGGTCAGGGCTCTGAGGAAAAAGCACCAACTACAGGGCTGGGCAGGACCCGTGTGGGTGGGGCCCACATGCCCTCGTCAGCCAGACAGCCTGGGTGTGCTCACCACTCACTAGCATCTCATCACAGGGACTGAGGGCCACTTCAGCAGAATCCAAAAGGATTCAGGTGGGAGAATTTGAACATCAATAAAAATTCCAGTGAAATGAAATGCATCAAATATGTTGAAATCCATGGGGTCATAGCAATGCCTTCTTAAAAGTGGCCTGTCTCTCCCTGGGGCATCTGCTAGAAAGCATCTCACTGCTCTGCACGTCCACACACAAAGGGGAACAGTCGGGAGTGTATCTGTCCCTCTCATACGACTGCACCTCGTGGGGATGAGAGAGAGCTTGAGGGCAGCTTTCTTTCCATGGGACCATTCCATCCAATACATGAAGAAACAAGGACAGCATTTGAGTGTCAGCACTTGTGACACTTAATGAGACTAAGGCAGCCATTAGTGTCAATTAATGTCACAGACTTACAACCAGACATCATGTGCCTTCTGATGGGAGTTTACAGCTGCACCTATGAAGTGTTCCCACCCAAAATCAGCCCTCCCAGAACCTGACCAAGACTCTCCTCAGACAGAAATTCACACGGAGGCTGGAACAAGAGGAACAGGTGACCTGACACCTTTAATGAAACCTACAGAACATACACTGCCCGATTCCATTAGACAAGAGACCCCCCCTTTCTTACCCAGTGCAATTTCCCACAAAGCAACAGGGAAGGTGTAAACTGCTATATTAATTTAAACTTAAGACACATCAAATCATTGCAATTTATGAATCTTACTTGAATCCAACTCAATATTTTGAATTATAAGACAATCAGGAAAATCCAATTTCAACTGGTATTTTTAAATTCTATTTGATTTTGAAGTCTGAAAATGGCAGTATTTTTCAAAGATTTCACATATTTACTGAAAAACTGAAACAATGTCCAATACCCACCTCTATGGGCAAAACTAGATCGGCATCACCTGGTCATTGGTGACGCTTGGTCTAGACCCGTGGAATTTCCTGGTATTACTGGCTTTAACTTTGAATAACGTAAAATATTTCCACAGTAAAAAGTTTACTCAGGGTGTAGCATAACCACTACTGAATACTACACACTCAGCACCCTGGTAAATATATTTTACATTATCACATTTACTCCCCAAAACTGGCCTGCAAGGAAGCACCATTTTGTATTTTAACCTTTATTTCATCCTCAACTGAAAATGCATTTATTGATTTTAGAAAGGAAAGAGGGGAGTTAGAGAGAGGGAGACATTGATATGAATGGGAAACATGGATGGGTTGCCTCCTTTCCCACCCCAACCAGGGATGTGCCCTGACCAGGTATCGAACCCACACACTTTGGGTGTGGGGGACAACGCACCAAACAACTGAGCAACCCGGCCAGGGCTGCATTCTAACTTATACAATAAGGACATGATCTCAAATAGGCTGAGACACTTGCCCAAGGTCACAGTGCTCAGGGGCACTGGGCAGAGCAGGGGCCCAGTTGAAAGTCTTTGTGACCCGGCCTTGTCCCAAACACCAGCCACAGCGGCCTCTGACTGGCTCCTTCCCAGCCCCAGACTCTAAAACCCCATAGGTCAGAGCTGGACAGGGAGGGGGAGGGAGGGTTGACCCCTCTCTCCAAGAACCAATAAGTGTGGGGATGCTGGCGGGGGCTAGTGGGAACAGAGGGTTTCTCTGAGCTGCTTCTGCACAAGAGCCCTGCGGTTCCCCCCACCCCCAACATCCCCTCACTGCCCCTGTCACACGTTGTGGTCCTAGCTTCTCTCTGCTGAGTGACAGACCCTGCGTCCTAGATTCCTCTGCTACCAGGGACCTGGCCCACACCTAGACGGTCACCACAGGCCTGGGATGGTTGTCTTGGCAGTGAACAGAGGCACTTAGACGGCCTGGTCTCTACATGGCTGTAAGCCTTGAACAACTGCCCTGGGGACACAAGGGACAAGGAAGGCTCAGCAGCTATATCGGTGTCTGCTGCACCAGCAAACACATGAAGGCGCCCCCGTCAGGACACACGTGTCCTGTTAGTATGAGACCCATGACACTGTGCTCATAACACAGCCCCTCACTCCCCTCCCCACCCCCACAACTATCTTCAGACAGAATATGCCTGCTGCTGTGGAGCTGGCACAGTCCCTGCTCTAGGCTCGGACCACAGCCACCCCCTGCACGCGCCCTGGCCCCACTGCCCCCCCACTCAGGCTCACCTTCTGTTCAACCTGCTGACCAGTTCCCGGGTTTTCCCCAGTGAAGCTCTTTCAGCTGCTGCTTCTGCTGTAACTATAAGGACAGAGTGTTCACCCCCTCCCACCCCCAGCCACTCAGCCAGGAAGCTGAGGAGGTTGGGGTGGAGCCAGTGGAGGACCTGTTTGCCTTTAAAGAGACAGAAACAGTGTCCCATTAGTTGGTGGGGGTTTCAGTTTTCTCAACTTCAAACCTTGGGCTCCACATGGTCTATCATCCCTGAAATATCCATAGCTATGTTGAGTATTTGGGCGATGGTGGTGGATCCCAAAGGCCCTTATCAAGTGACCCAAGTTTTGCCCAGAAAGCCAGGCACAGCATCTGGTCATCTTCCCTGTGAGTGGGTGACAGTGGGGTGATTTTGGAAGAAGGAAGTCGGGCAGGTGACTTGGGGTGCCCTGGGGAACTGCTAGTGATCATCTGCTGTGGGCCTTGAGTCCAGTCTTTCAGAAGGGTCTCAGTTCCTTATTCAGAAACTGCAGGACTCGGGTCCAGACCCAAAGGGGTCTACACCATTGGGAGGCATGGGGAGGAGAGGAAGGGGGTTTGGGGAAAAGTCTCTGTGACCACGCAGCCCCTCTGGGTTTTCCATATGGTCCTTGCCAGCTTGAACGCCCCCCAGGGTTTGACAAGGACAGATGCTCCCAGGGAGCAGATGCAATTCCCCTCCCACCCTTTCTGCCTTCCCCCACCCCAGGCCCACATGGAGGCACCTGTCTGAGCTTCACTCAGTGGATGAATGCCACAGGCGCTGGAACCCGTTTCCAGTGAGAGGTGGGCTGCCAGAGCTCTCACGGTGGACACGACATTTCAGTCATCTGTTGCATCACCATTAAATATTGGTTTTTATTATATATTTTGGTTCAACACAATGAGAAATTTGATGAGTCAAATCTTAAGCTTTTGGGTAGGTACTAGGAGGAGCAGATGTGTCAGGAAGTAAGGGACAGTAGGATGGCTGCCCGTGGAGGGAAGCAGCAAGATTTGGAAATGAGGGTGTTCATGACATGTCATTGGTCCAGAGCATTATACCAATTGTTGGTGCTAATGAGTCGGGTCACCATGAAGGGCCCGGTGACAGTTTCCTGACCTCCACCTGGTCCTCCTGTCAAAGCAGCAGGACCAGCTTTGACATTCACTGGTCTGACTCACACGCAACAAATGCCAAGCCCACTGTTTAAACATCAGAAGGTTTCAGGACGCCATTGACAGCGCACCATCCCATGTGAGGAGCCCCTCTCAGCACGAGGCCAGGTGCAGCCCCACAGGTCACTCCCCAGGGGGCTGACCCTGACCTGGCTGCACAGGTGTGACTCAGCAGCACAGCCAGGACTGCATCGCCTG